GAGAGAGAGAGAGTGTGTGTGTGTGTTGGTCTCACTGTCTCTCCTGGCAGTGGTTTCAGTTTTCCCTCCTCAGCTGAAGCTTTGGCCTCCCTCATGTCTTTCTCCAGATCTCTGACCATTGACAAAGCGTTGTCAATCTCCAGCGGACCACAGGCTTCCTGAGCCTGCACACGCACACGCACACACACAAACAAACAAATTGACGAGTGGTCCAGACCTGTCGTACGAGTCGTTCTCAGATAATCTGACTTCCATTCAACTAAAACGCTTTAATTTGCTACAAATATCAGATTTTTAATTTTTGTTCCGTTTCTTTCGGCCAATGAGGCGATCAGGAGGCGGACTGATCCACAGATCATGTGCAGATTATCAGATGGAAATTCATCGTTGACATTCCTCGGGCTTGGAAACAAGAGATTAGAACTAGTTTGATCAGAATTAAAGAAACAAACTTCACAGGAAAAAGAAAAAGATTTTGCAGAGGAGCCTGGATATGTTGAGGCTCCATCACTCATATCACAGGGTAATAGTGTAGCTGACGTACCTTCTGGGAGGCGGTGCGGAGCTCAGCCAGGGCACTGGCCAGGTTCTTAGCACACTGGCTGAGCTGCATGGCTGAGGCCTGGTCACCGATGGTGGGAACAGTGGCTTTAGAGGCTGTGACCATTTTAGCACCGGGCTGAAGAGGAAACAGTCAGTGTCAGGTTTCACAGGAATCTACTAGAAAACTACAGAAAGGCTTTTCAGTCATTTATCCTTCGTGAGGCCACGATACTGACAAGAGAGAGGATCATTCAAAATGTGAACATCTTCATTTCATGTGGAAATCTTCTGCTTCTCTTTGGTTTGTGCTGTTTCTCCACCCACACACTGATTTCAGGTCATTGAAGGAAACTAAACAAAGACTTAGTTGATCCATCACAGGAGAATTTGAACTTGCCCCTGATGACCGGTGATGCAGCGTTTCACCACAACATTAAACACACTTGTGTTGGTGACTACACTCATCATTCCGCTCTGCTGGGGGGATGTAGATGTGTCTGCTGAGCGGCTGGTGTCAGTCACCTGCAGGAAGTTCTGGCTGGCACTGATGAGGGCGAGCTGAGCGCTGGGGCTGTCAGGCTGAGACTGGCTGCCTCGGACTCCCTGAACCAGCTGAGGGATCTGCTCCGCCGCCACCTGAACACAGAGAGAAGAAATCAAACCAAGATCAGACCAAGAGACAGGATGAAGACGCTCAGTCTGCAACCGGCATGAGAAGAGAACACAGATCAGGGTGCGTTCACCTTGCAGCTCTGGACGAGCTGCTGCTGTGCAGCCTGGTTCCTGTTGGACGAGGCGGCGTGCTGAGCAGCAGCGATGGTCTGAGTGGCTGCTGCCGCCGCCTGTTTGGCTGCGTTCTGACAGGGAACAGGAAACAAGACGTGTGTCATTAACACTGTGCTGCTGCACGACTGACGTAGAACATTAGCAGCAGCTGTGGAGCTCTGCCTCCCTCCTCGTTACCTCCAGCTTGTTGACGAGTCGTTTCTTAATGGCGTTCTGGGCGGCGGCGTTGGTGGCCATGCGGAGACCCTCAGCAGCCTCTCGTAACCTCTGCTGCTGCTCCTCACTGTCAGGGTTCGCTGCCGCGCCCTGTTACACATCAGGCGAACATTGAAATGATGACGTCAGTTTGTTGTGTTCAACACTAAAATATTCAATGTTAAAGACAGAGGGCGGACCTTAGCCGCCTCCACCATCTTGGCAGTGGCGTCGGCCAGCAGTTTGGCGGCTGACAGCAGTTTACGTGAGTTCTCCAGGTCTGACTCTCCCTCTGCATCCATCTTGATGGCGTTGACCAGATCAGACGTGGCCTGGGCAAGAATACGAGCCTGACGAACCATCTCACCTGACGAGTTACGAGAGACGCAAAGAAAGAGTGAGAGGGAAACTTCCACGTGTCGTGTTTCATTCATTCACTTCAGGAGACACGTGTTTAACCATCGAATCTGTGTGAGTCTTCTATCCAGTGAAACACATTCATGGTTCATCCTCTGGACACCATGAGTCGACAACATATTTCACTCAGGCTGCACAGACATTTAAGATATTTAAGAGATAAAGATGTTGAGACTTTATTCTTTGAATTCTTCTAAAAGTGTGGAGATGTTTGAGGGACGGACAGATAGATGGCGCTGTTTGTGAAGTCCAGCTGATAGCGATAACAGATGAGTGCGCCCCCTGTGGTCATTAGTTTAGAATGCGTCACCCACCAGCGTCTCCCATTGAGCTGAAGATGTTCTCGGTGACATCCAGAATGCGGTCGGTAGCTTCTCCGTGGCGTCCGATGGGATGGCCGCCGCTGGCGTACTGTTTGATGTGCTGGAGCAGCTCATTGAGGGCCTGAGTGACGCCGGTGGCAGCCACGCCCACCTGCTTCAGGAGGCCCTCGTCATTGGTCGCCCCCTGTGACGCCTCCACGCACCCTTCTACAGACTTGGCCACCAGCTTTCCCGCCTCGATCAGCTGCTCCTGACACACCGGTGAGCTGATGGTCGGAGCCACGACCTGACGAGGGATGAGATGAATAAAAACGAGATCAGACCCTGGATGTCAGCTGTCTGACAGGCGGCGCCCGGCTCTTAGCGGCTACGTCTCAGGTGGACGACTCACCCTGGTGCAGGCCACCAGCTGAGACGTGGACAGAGCACACTGAGTGGCCGCAGCGATCACACGGTTCTGCTGGGCCGAGTCCTCCGTCTTCTGGGCCACGTTCTTGGCTTTGAGCACCAGAGCTGCGGCAGCGTTAGCTACAGCTTTAGCCAGCTGCATTAGCATGTCCTGCCGACGACAAACACACGTCAGGTACTGATCAGAAACAGACGAGGAGTTAATTATTACATGTTGAGAAAGAAAACTTTCAATACAGACGATCAATGAATGTGAATAAAGACGACGACACAAAAA